TCAAACGAGCTCTTCTGTATGCCGGTTAGGAGCTGCAGGCTTATCCTCGATCCCTGGTTTGTGAGGTAAAGAAGACAAATTTTCGCGGGTTCCGATAAACTCCGTCCACTAGAGTTGCGTCACTAGAGTTGCTACATCACTGTGTCTACGCGTTTCGCCTATTGGCTTCCTCAGGACGTCAATGTGACACAATCAGAGCCCGCTTAGAATGGTTAGTTAGAATGTTCACACCTCGCTAACAAGGTGTAAAGACTGCAAACCGCAAGGGAAGCCTTGGCGTGTGCCGACCCTGGGTGGCGACCCATTCGTTAGACAAACACCGTCCAGGGGGAGCATTCACTTATTGCTTTTAGTCTCGTTCAACTCCCAAACGAGGACCTCCTCAGTGCCCCTTAAAATGTTCGCACCAATCAATTAGAACATTTGCAACTTGCAACATAAGTATGAAACCGAAAGGGAAGTAATTAATGAGTGCTTTCCTGGGTGGCAGCGGCCAGGGGGAGCATGCGTGTGGCCAATATAGTTGTTATTGTACCCCTGAAACTGGGTGTCATCCAGTTACTGGGGGGGAATGGCCTCTTCATTCTGTATTAGCTGAGGTAACCAGTCGGGTTCCCCTTGGCCCGCTACACAATATTATACTAAAAATAAATTCCTGTTATTTTCCAAAAGTCAGCCCAATTTCCATTTTTTTTTAATCTGGAGCTCAAGAGCTGAGTCAAAATTCTGCTGGCAAGTCCTCCCATGCAGACATTGTGAGTAATTTGTAAAATAGTGAACTAGATGACCTTGAAGTCTTTTGTTTTTCTTTAAAGGAAACTGACACTTCTCATGGTTTTTAATATTATGTTTATCTATTTATACACAATAATTAAGAAATATATATTTGTAAAATCTGAAATTTTTTTGTTTGTTTTTTTTAGAAATTCACACCTGTTTATCCTGCAACTGGGCACCACCATTTTGGTACACTGTATCATTGTTATAAGCTCTGTAATTTGCAACAAGAATTCAGTATAGAAAAAACATACAGAGAAAAAGAAAAACAAAACAATGTTACTATTTATCCTTTTCAATTGCAATGTGTGCCCTAGTTGTGCCTTAAGTGGATTGTGACATCATTTGCTAAATTTAACATAAAATTCAGACAAAATGGATCATGTCACGAAAAAAAGGTCAACACAATTTATAGATGATTTTTAATGGTTTAATCAGTGCTGCCATTTCTAAAGAAATTGTGGTTGCCATTTAAATTACTGTTCTTTGACACTATTTTTCTTACATTGCACATCTGCTTTTCTAAGTGTAGACATGTTGGCTTTTATGTATTTTATTATTAGACTGAGTACTTTGCCACCCAACCAATAAGCTAGTTCGTCAATTGGCCATGCAGCTCAGATGAGGTTTTAAGATATATGATTCCAGTAAAGCCAGTAAATAAATGTACATCCCAGATGCTAATTTCTTTACTGCTAACCAACTCTCAAAGGTGTCTAGTTTTATCAAATGTTACTCATTCTAAAGATAAGGAGTTACCTGAAGTTTCAACTCTGTGGCAATGAAATTGTAAAGGCTTGTCTGGCTTGAAGTAAGCAACAATGGCTGCACACACAGGCAATATAAACTGAGCACCGATTCAGGTATGTATGCTTTGCAAACATTACACAATAACCAATGTCTATCACTAAATATCCCATTCTACTATGACAATGAATCAACAGTGTTCTACATGTGTAGCGAAAACTCTTTTACTTAATTCTATATAAAATGCAATATTTACTGTTGAAAAACAGTATAATCTGTATGGCATAATATATAATGTAAGAATTAAAATATATGTAAATAAATGTTATGAAACATATGTATCCTTATTTTAATTACTTTAATAGCTCTATGAGGTTTACTTGTTACATCAAATAAGAGGATGACTATAATTAGAATTATCTTCTTAATCTGATAGGGATTAGGTAAATTCATACAAAGTGTCATAATCTTGGCAGCAGTATCGAGAATTTAATTTTTCAGTTTAGTTGGTGCCAGCAGGGTTTCCTCCATTGTGGGTGGCCTGGGATGGTAATGTAGTAGCTTGCTGCTATTTAGCGACATATGATATGATGGCCCAATACAAATCAAAGATCTACAAACAAGACGCTACTCAGTATCAGGAGCTTGTTTAGATAGTTTGTTTATGACTTAGTAAGGGTTGTGGGATATAATTTATTGGTCTAATTAGATTATTTGGAGATTGTCAATTGATAATTAACTGGCTTTATATGTATTGAGAATATAAAGAGGAGGAAGGAACGAGGAGAGAAAATGGACACATGAATTGTTTGGTAGGGAGGGACTGAGAACATAAACTGATTGGAGAGAACTGCGAACATGAATTGACTTGGAGATAGGTATAGACAAGATTAAGCCAAGAGGGAACGGTAACATAAGTTCAATGAAGCGAGGCCTGCCTTCCTCCCATCCTGTTGCCCTCCCTTTCCCAGGTAGACTTCGCACACGTAGACTTCCATCGACCTGATCAAAAAGAAAACATGATTCATCAGAACTGTCAACCTTCTTCCATTCCTCCATAGCTGTGACCAGGGCCAGTGCAAGGATTTTTGGCTACACAGGCAAAGATGCATTTTGCCGCCACCCCCTTAAAAAAAAGTGTCTTGTAACCCCCCTTTTGATTTTCTTACCCTCTTTAGTGTATTTTATCCCCCCTTTAGTATGTATTATACCCTCTTTTCTCTCTTATAACCCCCCCTTGTGTATCTCTTTCTTTCCACAGCCCCTTTGTGTGTCTCCCCCCATTATTTTTCCGTGTCTCTTTCTCCCCCCCAGCCCCTTTCTGTGGCTCTCTCCCCTCAGCGCATTTTGTGTCTTTTTCCATGTGATATAGACATAGATATATAGCAACACACAACCATACAGGCACTCAGTCACAGAGATTTGCAGGCACACAATCAAACAAATACAGGCACACAACCATACAATCTACACATACAGGTACCATGTCATACAAACACAGACACACACACACACACACACACAGAAATTGTCATACAGACACAGGCATACAAAGATATACATACACAGGCTTATAGCCACACAGATACAGGCATAAAGAGCAGGGGCGGATCCAGAGCCTAATCTCGGGAATAGCACTGGTAGTGGGTTGTAGTGGCTTTAATTTAAAAGTTAGGGCATGTAGTAGGGGGCTAGGGGCTGTAGTGGGGAAACCTGGGCTGCAGTGGAGGGTATGAGCTGTAATCGGGGGGTTAGGAAATGTAGTGGTGGATAGGGGCTGAAGTAGGTTGGGAAAGAGGCTGTGGTGTGGGTGATATGGGTTACAATTGATTGATTGATTGATATACTAATAAGGGTGTGAAAAGGAATGAAAGAAAAAAATGGCCTCAATTTAAAGGGAAATTGTCATGCTTGACCTAACCCTCCACTCCCCTGCCGCAATCTTCTGTAATACCCACCTCCTGCACTCCTCCCGCAGTTTCCGTTAATTTGTCCTGCTTGGGACCACTTCTTGAGGGCAAACCTCCTTCATGACACCGACATGCTGGCTTCATTGCCAACATGCCGGTGTCTGAACGGAGTTACATCACATTACTCCATTACTATACTTTGTTCCTATACTCCCTAGACTGCGCTAGCAGCACCTTCTATGGAGTTACCATAGCTACCACCGCACATGCGCAGTGGTTGCTATAGGTGGAGAGAAGGACCTATGGGAGGTCTTCTCTGCTCTCCCTGTCACTCAATTCCTCAGTGTCTGCAAAGGAGTTGAGACATAAATTTAATTTTAAGCTATTTTAAAAGAGCTAAAGTTAATTTTAACATACCAGATCCCCTTTAATTCATGTGAATTCTGTTAGAAAAACTTTTCATGTGATTTAACAAAAATTGCTATAGACTGTAATGGCGACTTACATAGATAAATCATCTGAAACTTTTTTTTTTCTAACAGATTGGAATAATTTCTGGTGCTTATTCAAACAAATTAAACGAGACCTATGTTAGAGGACAGCAAAACTAAGCATGTTAGAACAGTTACAAAAAAAGCTATGAACTACAAGACCTCTGATGATTTCCATATCCTGTATGCCAAACCCGGATAGTGTACACACATAACTAAATGCCTGGAAACAAAGACATTAGCCATGCAGCTCTGCAGGTTCAGACCGGGGAGGTGCTTGGGATGGGTTGCAAATCCAACTAAAAGGCGTAAATAGAAGACAGAGTTCCGTTAATGCCAAGAAATATTTAAAGGGATAGAGTATGTAAACAGAGGCCCAATATTTTAATACATAACATATATAGTGTAGTACAAAAAATGCAAAAAGTAATATAAAATTACAAGAGGAAAAAAATAAAATATTTACTTTTAATGCTTAAAAAACTGCAGCAATTGTACAACAACAGACTGTGGCAGGCAGACCCCTCCTAGGCCAAAATGTATCTCTTTTTTATATGGGTTTGGTTAATTTTCCTCCAAGACACTGCTGCTCAGCCTGTAAATTTAATATAACCCTAATTTGCAGTTCCACTTGGATACTATAAGGTCAACTGCTCAGTAATCTGATAGTAGTCATGATGTCACAATTGCTGTCAACCTATTCAAATTCTATCTCTAGCAGGGATCTTCAAAGCCACCAACCGTACATGTGCCCAGCTGCAAATCATGTCTCCAGATTTGGAGAAAGGTGGGAAGAGATGTTCAAGTTATGTATGTGGAGTGTGTATGCTGTACACACAAAGTTGCAGAGATTTTGGATTTCAAAGGAGAGGATAAAACTCCTCCTTGATGGCACTGATCCTGGTAGCAGGCTTTAAGCTGCATCACTTTCTGATAATCATCGCAATTACATCCCAATTCAACAGAGATGGGGCAGGTTCATTCTACACAATAATTTCTACAATTATGCAAACTTGTTATTATGCTTAGATTGACTTTTTAAAGGAAACCTCATCAGATTCCACCTGTAAATGTTGTCATTTTGAGTGATTCTCACAAAAAACAAGTGCTTACTCAACTATCACTCAAGAACACTCAGCTGTGTCCAGCAATGTATGAACATTGCAATGACATTGGCTGTCATTACTGGATACACATGAACGGTTAACTCCTTAAAACCTGCTGCTGGGCTCATGATCGAGGATTGTTTTTTGAGTGACAGTTTTACTTAAGCAGAATGTGACCAAGACTGTCACTTCTTGCTCCTATGACTCAGTTTTAAATAATAACTTTCTGGATCACTCCTTACTTCTTTAATTTCAGTTAAGAAGATCCCATTCTGTATCACTTGCTTCCTTAAAGTCTCCTTACACCTGTTATTATGTGCTTATATATATATATGTATATATATATATAAAAAAAATATATATATATACATTAACCTTTGTTTTTTCTGAGATTATGGATACAAACTATCGGTAGAATACTCTGTGCACATATTTTTTTATTTTATTTTTTTGCCATTTAAACACAACTTATTAAAGTAATTTTAATTTTATATTCACCCTAACCTGCAACTCTAAAAAATATTTTGCCTGTCTTTGAGGTTTTCTTTTGTTTTTTTGTTTTTAATTCTTTATTTTTGCGTCAACTCATAGTTATAGTCATTACTGTAGTAACATCGCCATGTAGATTTTACATGGGTATGTCTTTGAGTGTTTATCATTGCATCTTCTTTCCTTCAATGATATCCTATTTTTGGTCACAAATATTTTTATTACATTTTCTTGGATTCTTGGGCTTTTCAACTTCATAAGTCAGGGATGGAGAACATTTTTAAACCAGTTGTTCTGCAGAATTAAAGAGGCATTATCGTTTTTGGAGTCTTTGGCATTTTTGCAAAAACACCCCAAGATGACATGTCCACTTACAAGGTGGCAGTTGGGGAAAGAGAGGTAAAGTAGATATACTTATCTGAACTTCTTTTTCATTGGTGCACACTGTCTTCTTCTTCATCCAGGTTGTCACTTTCTTCCAGGGTCATTGACAGGTTCTGCAACTGTGGATGGTGTGAGAAGATGCAGCAGGTGATGATGAAGAACAGGATGGCATTTTGCTAGTGATCAGATGCTACTTGAAAAAAAAGTAGTTCTTATATTATCTCATATAAATCTTCTGAGTGCTTTGATCTATCTTTATAAAACAAATATCAATAGTGATAGTGCTACTTTAATTAATATAGTCTAAACATGATGCAAGTTGGTAAAATCAAAAGGCCAATTAATTGGTACATCTTGCAAATGGCTAGTGTTGCCAGGTGACCAGTAATAGAAAAGAATGTGAAGCAAATTTGTATAAATATTGTGAGATGAGTAAAATGAAACATCAGAGCATCCAAAAATCTTCTGGTTAAAATAAGATGAAAGGAAATCACACTCCTGTTGTTATTATTATTATTATTATGATATTTATATAGCGCCATCAAATTCCGCAGTGCTTTACAATAGGTGGACGAACAGACATGTAGTTGTAACCAGACAAGTTGGACACACAGGAACAGAGGGGTTGAGGGCCCTGCTCAATGAGCTTACATGCTAGAGGGAGTGGGGTAAAATGACACAAAAAGATAAGGATAGTATTAGACTAGTGACAGCTGCAGAAGAGGAATCAGTCAGGAGCTATTAACAGTTTAATTGATATGCTTTTATGAAGAAGTGGGTTTTTAACGATTTTTTGAAGGAGTGGAGACTGGGTGAACATCTAACGGAGGAGGGAAGCGAGTTCCACAGGAACGGTGCAGCCCTCGAGAAATCTTGAAGGCGAGCATCAGAGATGGGAGTACGGACAGAAGATAGACGTAAGTCTTCAGCAGATTGTAAGGGCCTAGATGGGACATACTTGTGTATAAGGGAGGATAGATAGGTGGTAGCAGCATTATGTAGAGATTTGAAAGCAAGAACCAGAATTTTAAATTGAGCTCAATATTTAATAGGAAGCCAATGTAGGGACTGACAGAAGGGTGAGGCATGGGAGGTACGGGCGGACAGGAAGATGAGCCTCGCTGCCGCATTCATTATGGACTGTAACGGCGCAAGTTGAGAGCACGTAAGACCAATGAAAAGCGGATTACAGTAGTCAAGGCGAGAAAGGACAGTGGAATGGACCAACACTTTAGTCGCATCTGGCGTTCAGTAGGGGCGGATGCGCGCAATGTTTTTGAGATGGAAATGACAGCATTTGCCGATAGATTGAACATGAGGCTTGAAGGAGAGGTCGGAGTCAAAGAGAACACCGAGGCAGCGAGCCTGCGTGGTGGAGCTTATGGTAGCACCGTTGACTTGGAGGGAGACAGACACAGGAGTAACAACACTTGTTGTTGATTGATTATTTTTATTAAGTGTTCAACAAATACATTGAGATGTAATTGCATGCAAGTCCTACTTCCTTATTTCGCATAAACTCACTTCTTCATTCACTCAAGTTAAAAAAACAAGCACCAATGGGTTGTATATTTATAACGTTTATATCTTAATGCATGCTTCAATCAAATAAAATATAAAATGTTTTTTATTCGTAATGTCTGAATTTCAGCCATATGTCTGTTCGAATCAGCAGAATTTCGGTATCGAAAAAAACTGACTTAGTAAACAAAACAGAAAACAGGAAAATTAACACTGTACTGCAAATGTATACATAATACAGGGAGTGCAGAATTATTAGGCAAATGAGTATTTTGACCACATCATCCTCTTTATGCATGTTGTCTTACTCCAAGCTGTATAGGCTCGAAAGCCTACTACCAATTAAGCATATTAGGTGATGTGCATCTCTGTAATGAGAAGGGGTGTGGTCTAATGACATCAACACCCCATATCAGGTGTGCATAATTATTAGGCAACTTCCTTTCCTTTGGCAAAATGGGTCAAAAGAAGGACTTGACAGGCTCAGAAAAGTCAAAATAGTGAGATATCTTGCAGAGGGATGCAGCACTCTTAAAATTGCAAAGCTTCTGAAGCGTGATCATCGAACAATCAAGCGTTTCATTCAAAATAGTCAACAGGGTCGCAAGAAGCGTGTGGAAAAACCAAGGCGCAAAAATAACTGCCCATGAACTGAGAAAAGTCAAGCGTGCAGCTGCCACGATGCCACTTGCCACCAGTTTGGCCATATTTCAGAGCTGCAACATCACTGGAGTGCCCAAAAGCACAAGGTGTACAATACTCAGAGACATGGCCAAGGTAAGAAAGGCTGAAAGACTACCACCACTGAACAAGACACACAAGCTGAAACGTCAAGACTGGGCCAAGAAATATCTCAAGACTGATTTTTCTAAGGTTTTATGGACTGATGAAATGAGAGTGAGTCTTGATGGGCCAGATGGATGGGCCCGTGGCTGGATTGGTAAAGGGCAGAGAGCTCCAGTCCGACTCAGACGCCAGCAAGGTGGAGGTGGAGTACTGGTTTGGGCTGGTATCATCAAAGATGAGCTTGTGGGGCCTTTTCGGGTTGAGGATGGAGTCAAGCTCAACTCCCAGTCCTACTGCCAGTTCCTGGAAGACACCTTCTTCAAGCAGTGGTACAGGAAGAAGTCTGCATCCTTCAAGAAAAACATGATTTTCATGCAGGACAATGCTCCATCACACGCGTCCAAGTACTCCACAGCGTGGCTGGCAAGAAAGGGTATAAAAGAAGAAAATCTAATGACATGGCCTCCTTGTTCACCTGATCTGAACCCCATTGAGAACCTGTGGTCCATCATCAAATGTGAGATTTACAAGGAGGGAAAACAGTACACCTCTCTGAACAGTGTCTGGGAGGCTGTGGTTGCTGCTGCACGCAATGTTGATGGTGAACAGATCAAAACACTGACAGAATCCATGGATGGCAGGCTTTTGAGTGTCCTTGCAAAGAAAGGTGGCTATATTGGTCACTGATTTGTTTTTGTTTTGTTTTTGAATGTCAGAAATGTATATTTGTGAATGTTGAGATGTTATATTGGTTTCACTGGTAATAATAAATAATTGAAATGGGTATATATTTGTTTTTTGTTAAGTTGCCTAATAATTATGCACAGTAATAGTCACCTGCACACACAGATATCCCCCTAACATAGCTAAAACTAAAAACAAACTAAAAACTACTTCCAAAAATATTCAGCTTTGATATTAATGAGTTTTTTGGGTTCATTGAGAACATGGTTGTTGTTCAATAATAAAATTAATCCTCAAAAATACAACTTGCCTAATAATTCTGCACTCCCTGTATAATATGTCATCCCTACTAGGCAGCAATGCCTAGCCAGTCGCTAGTTATAAATATTTAACAAAGCAGGTGGGGGCATTGAGAAATTTTGAACTTACTCTATAGCAATATGGGGGTCTAATTGAATTATTATATATTATTCTTCATTTTTAAATTAACTTTTTTTTACTTTTGTTAATGTGGTGGCTGGCTAGCAAGCACTGACAAGCCACCACATAATTAGCCCTCGCACCAACAACAGTTTGGCTGAAACATAGTTCACATTCCAAATTCAGACCCTAACTGCAAATCTGGACATTGTTAAATAGTGTGAACAATGTCCAGATGGGCAGTATGCTGCCAGATGGTTTTGCCTCATGCGATACAGAGCCTTTTGGACTTAAATTGATAACCACATAGGATTTCAATAAATCTTTGAATGCTGTAGAGAAATAAGGCAAGAAGGGAATTTGAATGTTAAAGCTAAACCTTAGCCAAATAAGGCATGCTAATACTTTAACTTTAATCTCAGTAGCAGAATTCAAAATCGCTAAAATCACATGGTATTTGAAGAAAGTAGAACCATCAGCGTGTTTATTATGATCAGTATTCTGACGGTTCATATTTAACCCTTTCATCACTAGCCCAGCCACAACTGCTGGGTATAGTTCAATGTTTAGGGATTTTTCCAATTGTATAATTTTCATTGTTATTTTCCTAAACATTCTCTTATGGCTGGTAAAGTTTTAAGATGATTAAACTACAAGGAACACAGAACTGAGTACAATACAAAGATAACCATACATTACACATAGCCAGGTACAATACAAAGATATTCATACTTTACACATAGCCAGGTACAATACAGAGATAACCATATTATATAAAGAACCCAGTACAATAAGGAGATACAGAACTGGTCACAACAGAAATAAATTCTTAAAATTCACTGAGCTGGGTTGACTACATAGTTGCCCATATAACAGGCATGGCTTAGTAAAATACATAGTTACAACATACATAACTGGGCACAATAAGGAGATACCCATAACTACCCCAGATGGCAAGGAGTCCTGTGATGGATTACAAAGATTCCCAAATAGTACAATGTCTTCATAAAATGCTTCAGTTCTCTTTGTATAACTCCAGCTCTATAGCTCGCTAAGTCTGCAGCTCTCCCTTTTCTGATGTCTTCTTCAGTATTGCTCCATTTGGTGGTCTGTGCTCTATCTCTGCTACTTCCAGTATGGATGCTTGGTGTTGTGAGTCTGTGATTTCTCCTGAATACAGATGCCATTAGCATGCCTTCACTTATGGGCAGATGCTGCCCAGATCACAACTCAATGGGAGGCCCCTGAAATGACTTCTTAAAGTTGATTGAGCATGTGCAAAACTTGATGAAACATGACAGATATAAAAGCTGTTTATATTTTTGAACATGACCAATTCTCTCAAGAGATCATCTGCAGGCAGCCAGCAATAGTGCGGGAGTGACCTTACAGTACTGAAAACTACTAAAGAATTGAAGAGAAATAGATTTTATTTTTCAATTTGAAAAACACATTGACAATTACAGGAGTATGTTAATCTACTTTCCCACCCGTATTTTTTTAGCTTATCCTTCTACCGCCAGAAAAATAATCTTAAAGGTTCTACACTGCTGGA